TGTAGCAACTAAAAGGGAGCTCAGACTAGTAACAACCGTGGTTGGAAAAACAAGTTGCTTCAGTTTTAAATGTTTGGCACGGCATCAATAAGAACCGAAATTGTATCTTTAAATGTAGTAGACAGCAGACTGATTCCCCTCAGGTACTAATTCATCCAAAAAGAATAGTGCGGCTTCTCATCTGCAGCTGATTGTGCCGCGGCCACTGCAGCTACAAGAATGTCAAAGACAGACTCTGAAGGATGTAAAAGTCTGCTTACTGCCCCTGTGCCCTGATTCAGCTATCATGACAGAGACTTTGGTAATTAAATCCTGCAGAGCTGAAAAAACTCCTCCATGGACAGGGCAGAAGAGAGACCCAAACCTTAGGGAGCTAGGGAAGATTCCAATGAATGGGTGTTTGTGTCAGGTAAGAAGGAATGCTGCAGCCTGCTCCAGAGCTGCTAGAATCCAGTGTCAAACTGCTGGCCCTCCAGCTGTTGCCAAACTACAAGTTGCATGAGGCACTGCAAGATTGACAGTTACAAGCATGACTCCCAAAGGCAGAGGCATGATGGGACTTGTAGTTTTTGCAACAGCTGGAGGGCCACCAGTTTGACACCAAAGATTAATTATGAACTGGTAAGGCCCAGGGAACTGCTCCCTTTGCACTCAGAATCTGTTACAATTAACCTCCCTGGAGGTATTCCCGAGTGTAGCTCAGGATAAAGTTTTCAGCACCACAAGCGGTAACCTTGAGCTACACTCGGGAATACCCTGCAGTGCTGCTCCGGGATCTCTTCTTCACTTACCTTGTCCTGCACTCCCACAATGTCCCCCCTGCAGTGTCTCTGGCAATGTCCTCCGGCCGATGCCGGCATCTGTCTTCCTGGTTCCGTTCCCTGCGATGTCAGGACGTACGGGACGGAACTGGCGGGAAATTTTAAAATTTTAAAAGTGACATTCACTAAATTCACTAAAATCACATAGTAAAAATATTACTGTTTCAAACCATTTCACATACATTTTGTCCCGAGTGCTTTGTCCTGTGCCCTGCTGGCATTTTTACTGTTCTTTCTGCCTGGAAACTGAGAAAAGTCCATGGCATCCAAAAAGCATCCCTTTAGGTCAACAGCGGTTTTAGACCAGCTAGAGAACAGCAATAGTAAATCAGAACCACTTGCAGAATTGAGTGATAATGATTCGTGGGGAAATTTGTCATCAGACGCTGAAAACGATTTTGCGACTTTGCTCAGTGATATGTGAACTGGCACTCTATTTCAAATTTCAGTGTTTTTGGTTTGATTATATTATTGAATTACATTTATTATAGTATTATTTTTTATGATTATTTATTAAATTATAATTTATGATTTCATGTTTCAAATTTTAACATACCCAGAATGTTTACTAGACTCTTGTTCGGACAGATTTCAGTGAGTTATTCCTAAAAATTTCAGACCTACAATAAAAAAACTACATATTTCCATGCAAAAAAATGTACCACTATGAGCACAGAAATATGGACATAATCAGATCGCTAGGAAGGCTACGGAAAAAGCAGAAGTTATATCATTGGAAGTGGCTTAGTCACTATGAGATGGCAGTCATTCCCTCCCTCCCTTTTCTTCCTTCCTCCATCCCCTCCCTTCATGCTTTCCTCCTTTTCTCCCTCTCTCTCCCCTTCTTTCCTTCCTTCCTTCCCCTTCTTTCCTTCCCCTTCTTTCCTTACTTCCTTCCTTCCTTCATCCATTTTCCTCCCTCTTTTTTTTCTTCCTTCCTTCTTCCCTCCCCTCCTTCCTTCCCTCCCGTTTCTTCATTCCTTCCTTCCTCCATTCCCTCCATTCCTTTTCTTCCTTACCTTCATTCCTTCCTCCATCCCCTCCCTTCTTTCATTCCCTCCCTCCTCATCCTTCAATCATTCTTTCCTTCCCCCCTCCCTCCACTTCCTTCAATCCTTCCTTCCCCCCTCCCTCCCCTTCCTTCAATCCTTCCTTCCTTTCTCCCTTAATTCCTTCCTCCATCCCCTCTATTCATTCTTTCCTCCATCCCCTCCTTTCATTTACTTCCTTCTTTCCTCCCTCCCCCCCCCCCCTTTCATTTACTTCCTTCTTTCCTCCCTCCTCTCCTTTCATTTTTCCTTCCTTCCTCCCTCCCCTTCATTTTCCTTTCCCTCCCCTTTCCTTCATTCCTTCCTCCATCCAGTCCCTCCCTCCCTTTTCTTCCTTCCTCCATCCCCTCCCGTTACCCTTCTCTCCTTCCCTCCCTTCCTTCCCTTTCCTTTTCTTCCCTTCCTTTCTCTATCCATTCCCTTTTCCTCCTTCCTTCCCTCCCTTCATTCCTTCCTCCATTTCCTCCCTTCCTTTTCTTGCTTCTGCCATCCCCTCCCTTCATCCTTTCCTCCCTCCCCTCCCTCCCTTCCTTCCCCTTCTTTTTCCTCTCTCTTTCCCTCCCCCCTTCCTTCCTCTCTCTTTGTCCTTTTTTTCCCACAAATAGAGATTTCTTTTAGCGGTAGTTGATTGCCTCTGCATTTTTTATTTTTTGAGCTATAAACAAAAAAAGACCAAAAATTTTGAAAAAAAAAACAAAACAATATTTTTTACTTTTTGCTATAAAACATATCCAGTAAAAAAAATTTAAAAAATCTAATTTCATCATAAATTTATAAATTTAGGCCAAAATGTATTCTGCTACATGTCTTTGCTAAAAGAAAATCCCAATACGTGTAAATTAATTGGTTTACGTGAAAGTTATAGCATCTACAAAAGACAGTATATATAATATATATATATATATATATATATATATATATATACTGTATATACGTGATTTTGAGCAGCCCTCCTGCCCTGTAGCAGTAATTCTGCTATAGGGTGGTGGGGAAGCGGTTAAGAATCTTGAACAAAGATAAAATAGCCTTAATATAAGTAAAAATAGCCTTAATATAAGTAAAAATGTCTACAAAGAATGGGTTTGCTTTTCTGTAAAGACACCCATACTCCTAGGAAACTAGCAAACAACTAAAACATCAAGGGAGTGGCAAGGATTTTACTTGGCTGGCCATTGGCTTTTTGTTTGCCAGTGTCCAAATCACCCTAAAGCAGAGCCGGATCTAGCCTGTCTGATATGGAGGTGCAGTAAAAAAATGTCAGAGGGGCAGAGGATGCAAGGTCAGCGGGGCAGTGTATAGGAGTCAGTAGGGGTCAGCAGGACCGAGGACAGGGGGTCAGCAGGACAGAGGACAGAGGGTCAGCAGGACAGAGGACAGGGGGTCAGCAGGATGGAGGACAGGAGGTCAGTAGGATGGAGGACAGGGGATCAGCAGGACAGGGTACAGAGAGTTAAATCCCCCCCCCATTCCCCCTCTTGATCAAAATCCCCCAGCCCCCTCCTAGCACACAAATCCCCCTGTCCCTCCTCCTAACACATACCCCTCCCATTCCTCCTCCTAGCTGCACAATATCCCCCCCAAAATTACCCTTCTCAGCACAAATAGCCCCCATCCCATCTCCTCCACAAACCTCTCATCTGAATCCAAGCACAAATGATTGGTCCCAGTACACTTCCCCACCTGCATGTTCTAACCCCCCCCCCGCCCAAAACTTTAGAGGCGGAGATCCTCTACAGAGCCAGAGGAGGTGTGCTGAGCTGTGCTCTCCTCCTCCTGTAATGACAGCAATCCACCATGCAGCAGATGATACAGGATTGCTCTTCGGGCTGTACACATATGGTTTGATTACCCACCCCCTATGTCCTCCAAGGGCTGCCCATCTCCCAGCAGCACGTAATGTGGATTGGGGGCGGGTAGTCAAACCATGCACAGTCCAATCTAGCGATCCTCTATCACCTGCTTTTTTTTTTTGCCAGTATCCAAATCACCCTAAAGCAGGGCTGGATCTAGCCTGTCTGATATGGAGGTGCAGTAAAAATGTCAGAGGGGCAGAGGATGCATGGTCAGCGGGGCAGTGTATAGGAGTCAGTAGGGGGTCAGCAGGACCGAGTACAGAGGGTCAGCAGGACAGAGGGCACAAATTCACAAAAAGAACATTGGGGAACTTGAGAAAGTACAGAGAAGGGAAAATAAAAACTGATAAGAGACATGGAGGAGATCAGCTATGAGGAAAGATTAGAGGAACTGAATTTATTCTCTCTTGAGAAAAGGAGATTAAGGGGGGATATGATCAACATATATAAATACATCAGTGGTTCATATAGTAAACTTGGTGTAGAGCTATTCACCCTGAGGTCATCACAGAGCACTCTTTACGTCTGGAGGAAAAGAAATTTAATCTCCAAACACTGAAAGGTTTGGAGTGTGGAATAGACTCCCTCAAGAGTTGGTTCTGACCAGCTCAGTGGATTGTTTAAAAAAAGGCCTGGATTGTTTCTTACATACACAGAATATAACTGGATACTAACACCTATAGGTAAAGTTGATTCAGGGAATATCTGATTGCCTCTCAGGGGATCAGGAAGGAATTTTTTTTCCCAGCAGGAGCAAATTGGATCATGCTTTGCTGGGGGTTTTTTTTTGCCTTCCTCTGGATCAACTGTGGGTATAGGATTATAACTTTTTTTTTTCTATGGTTGAACTGGATGGACTTTTGTCTTTTTTCAGCCAGACTAACTATGTAACTATGTAACCTGCTACATGGAAGATCGCTGTTCTGACAGGAGGAGGAGAGCACAGACCACACCTCCTCCCCCCACTCTGTCGCTGTGAGTTCTCTCTGACTTTTTGATTTAGTTCCCTGCTGCTGGCTGCCTCCCTGCCCCCTCACTTTGTCCCTGCCCTGAGTGCGGGAACAGGGATAGGAGCTCAGCGGCCAGGCAAGATTTCAATGGGGTGGCCAGCCCAATATTTTTAGGTATGCAGTGTTATTGGGAATACATAATAAACAACATATAGCGAGGTTTCTAAAATTCAGCCACAAAAGTGAAACTATAACTTAATGTGAGAACATGATCCAATGAAAATCACATGGCACAGGGAAAGTGAAATATTTTCTTACTTCCAATAGGTAACTCAACTACCAGTTAGCTTAAAAGATGGAATGTGGCATCATATTTGTGTGGCCTGGACTACAAGAGATGGAATGTGGACAGCCTTCCAAGATGGGAAAAAGAAGGGATCAAATGAGAACCTGTCTGCCTGGCACCCAATCAAACCTAATGGAGTCATCATTTTTGGACAAGAACAGGTATCTGCTACTACAACATTTTAATTGTTTCTAAGTTTATTTTCACCATTTAATTCAACCTGTGTTCCTTCTTTCTACCTAAAATGATAACTTCAACTTCAGCAAGATATTCTGAATCTTTGTTGGTAGGCTGAGTTTGAGACTGAGTATACTGAAGCATTTTTTCTTCTGTACAGGATGCCGTAGGTGGTCGATTTGACGCTACCCAGGCATTTGTAGGAGAAGTGTCACAGTTCAATATGTGGGATCGCGTCCTGACCAACAGTGAAATAGAAGGAATCGCAAACTGCACAATGCCTCTGTCTGGAAACCTCATCCATTGGGATGATCGCCAAGTGGATATTTTTGGCGGTGCAACCAAGAGTCCATTTGAAAGCTGTGAGGAGCGTTTGGGTCACTGAGATATACATGAGCATCCGGATCTCCCACATCCCCTATCTATCCCTCAGTGTCACCATAGCAGGATTTCACAGCTTCCCAACCAGTGGGTGTGAAAGCAGCACCAGCTTGTGTTAATCATCACAAGATAATCATAAAACACTGTGTGTCTGTGTTTGGGGTCTGCAACCAACTTTACTATGAAAAGAGTTTAGCAGTTGCTTAATACCGTCACTTGAAAATTTTTTACATAAACATGTACAGATTCTTTGTCTTCATTTCCAGCAGGAGATCATGGTTGGTTACTTAGCACTTTCAGGAAGAGAGTAAGGTACAAAAGTGACCTAGATACATTTCAGTGTTACAGTTTAATACATCAGATTTTGTAAAGCAGATCTAAATAGAGGGGCTATCTTTATTTAAATGTCATATATCACAAGTGTTTATTTGTTCCTAAACAGCATTTTATATTGCTTCTCCAGCACTGCTCTTCACAATTACATGGTTTTCAAAAACATTTCCTGCAGCTTATCAGTTGTTGATCACAGTATAGCCTATCACCTTAAGCCATTGAGCTGTATGCAGGATGGGAAAACTCTGTAGGGCATTATTCAATAAGCACAGCACAAAGAGCAACCAATCATAGTTCAGCTGATTAGCTTCTGTTGGTTAATCTGTTAAATGCTCGCTCGCCATTTTCATAACAGCCAATAAACACAAATTACAATAAAGGTGCTATTACTAAAAATCAGATCACATGCTCTACAAAACTTAAAGCAAACCATGTGTAAATAAAAATATGCTAAACTAACTTAATGCAGGACAACTCTGACAGCAGAAGCTGTCAGAACAAACCTATAATTGCATGATTTGAAAGCTCAGACTCATACCAAAGAGGCTATGAAAATAGAAACTTTATCCTAGAGGCTTTTTTTATATAGCCATCATTACTCACCATAGTGGCAGTGCCTATGTCTGATGACTTGATGATAAGGCACAGGGCAAAACAAAGTGGGATGTGGGCAGAGGAAATGACTATTTTCCACAGCTAGGAAGTGGGTCCCAAACCCCACTAAAGGAAAAGTAAGCTGTCAGCTTCACCATGCTTTTGTTAGTTCAGAGCACTTTATTACAACAGGTTTGCTTTAAACTGTACCTTTACTCTTATTAAACCTTTCAAATATCCACTTTCACCAGAAAATGGGTTCACTGAGCCCCGAGAACCTAAAAACCAGAAATTGTCCATATCTCAACCTCCACTAAAAAAAAATGTATTGCTTGGCTCTGCCTGTTCTACCTCCCAATGCCTGTGTACTTGCTCATCACTATGATTGGCTTCACTGACCAATCCAGAGTTGCAGGAGGGGAAGCAGCACAAGCACCATTATCTAAGGTGAAGCACGAGCACTTAAAGTGGAATTCAAGGCTATATCTAACTAATCTTAAAAGTACTCCTTCAACCCTCCTAACACCTACGCTGACTAACTTGTGTAAGGGAAAAAAAAAAAGTATATACACAGTTGTGTTCAAAATAATAGCAGTCAGACATCACTAACCTCATCAATCACTGTTTTTGGTAGAAATGATATTTCTACATGGCAAATAATTTACCAACAGGTGTAGTAGAGTAATAGAAATCCAACAGACCTAACAGTCATGACATGCATGCTGCTGATTCTGTGTAATTGAATCACTAATTGAAAGGAGCATGTTCAAAATAATAGCAGTGTGGAGTTCTATTAGTGAGGTCATTTATTCTTTGAAAAAGAGGTGGCAATTATTGCCCTTATTTAAGGAAGGAAGGCAGCAAATATTGTACATGCTGGTTACAGTGCATTTCTCTCTGAAATTCTGAGGAAAATGGGTCGTTTCAGACATTGTTCAGAAGAACAGCGTACCTTGATTAAAAAGTTGATTGGAGAGGGAAAACATATAAAGAAGTGAAGAAAATGATAGGCTGTTCCGCTAAAATGATCGCAAATGCTTTAAAATGGCAACCAAAACCTGAGAGACGTGGAAGAAAGCAAAAAACTACCATTCGAATGGATAGAAGAATAGCTAAAATAGCAAGGACTCAGCCAACTATCAGCTCAAAGAAGGTCTAAAGTTACCTGTGAGTACTGTTACAATTAGAAGACGCCTATGTGAAGCCAAGCTATCTGCAAGAATCCCCCGCAAAGTCCCACTGTTGAAAAAAAGACATGTGCTGAAGAGGTTACAATTTGCCAAAGAGCACATTGACTGACCTAAAAGAGAAATGGCGCAACATTTTGTGGACTGATGAAAGTAAGATTGTTCTTTTTGGGTCTAGTGGCCGGAGACAGTTTGAGTCAGATGACCCCCAAACACTGAATTCAAGCCACAGTACACTCTGAAGACAGTGAAGCATGGTTGCGCAAGCATCATGATATGGGGATGTTTCTCATACTACGGTGTTGGGCCTATTTATCGCATACCAGGGATCATGGATCAGTTTGAAGACATCAGAATACATGAAGAGGTCATGCTGCCTTATGCTGAAGAGGAAATGCCCTTGAAAATGGGTGTTCCAACAAGACAATGACCCCAAACACACCAGTAAACGTGTAACATCTTGGTTCCAGATCAACAAGATTGACGTTATGGAGTGGCCAGCCCAAACGCCGGATCTTAATCCAATAGAAAACTTGTGGGGTGACATCAAAAATGCAGTTTCTGAGGCAAAACCAAGAAATAGAGAAGAACTGTGGAATGTAGTCCAATCATCCTGGGCTGGAATACCTGTTCACAGGTGCCAGAAGTTGGTTGACTCCATGCAACACAGATGTACAGCAGTTCTCAGAAACAGTGGTTATACAACTAAATATGAATTAAGTGATTCAAAGGAAAGCAAAATCTTCAAACATTTTTCAGTTTATATAGTGAATGTTTGAGTTTGTAAAGAAGAATACAAACACTGCTATTTTTTTGAACAGTCTAATATTCACTTTTCTTCAATTCTTTTAGAGGAACAACACAAATTTGATATATTTTTCTTCATGTTTTGATTTGTAATAGAATGTGTAGTGTTCCCAATGCATTTGTGTGTATGGAAATAAAAGCTATTAGAAAGATTTTGAGCTTTATTCACTTTTTTCAACACACTGCTATTATTTTGAACACCACTGTATATATATATATATATATATATATATACATATATATATATATATATATATATTTATTTACCTATTTTCAGGCTGCTCCAGTCCGGTCATCTGATCTCCCCTGTGGCAACAAGTGGTGACTGCAGAGGAGAGGGCACTTGATGACTGCTATTGCCTAGGAGCAGTGACATCACCCATAGTCTCCTGTGTCGCAGCTGTTGTCAACAGTTCCTCTTCTCTGCTGCAGCCACCGCATACTGAAACAGGGGAGCTAGAGCATGTGACTAGACTGGAGTGGCCTGAAAACAGTTCTATTCATCTTTCTTACAGAGGTTAGCCGGCATAGGTGTTAGGAGGGGGGAGCATTTATAAGATTAACTAGGTATAGCCTGGAATTCTACCTTATAAAAAGAAAAAGCTGTCTGCAGTAACCTGGATGAGCCTGCTGTTGGATGTAAGCAGCTGTTACAGAGGTTTGATAAGAATACAGGTTTGTTTTCAAGATAACTGTGATAAATATGATATTTTAGTAAGAGATTTAGTCCTAAAAAACAGCTGACCATGAGCTAATACTCCCTCTGAAAGAAGTACTCTAAGTACTCAACTTGGCAAGATTCCATCATTGCCGCCATTACATACATATCAGCAAATGTTATTATCCGTTATATAGCATACAGTAGATAATTATGTGTTTACCGTCCCTTTAAATATACCCCCAAATAGTAGACTTTGATAGCACAAGCCATTTCTCTCCTACTAATCCTTATAAAAGCAGAAGGATCAGATATGGGGAAAACATATGTATTTATTTTTTTATATAGACTTCTGCGTTCTGCTCATTCTCTGTGAGCAACAACCTTTTTCCAAGCAACAGCGCACTTTGATTTCTTTCAAAACAGAGATATTTATATATATATAAAAAGTACAAGCCATTATGGAAGACTAGTTGGTATATTAACACTATATGGGGAAAATATTTATATACAGTAAAAAGAAATATAGTATAAAATAAATACTTTTTTATTTTTAAAGATTGCTGCTGTAAGATGTAAGCCCTTAATGGGAGTTAGTTTATTAATGGACATTACTAAAATTTCTTTGATTTTCCCAAGTACAAGGACAAACATCATGGGGCTATTAAGAGCAATCATGCAATCTCTGTGGTTCTGTATTGTGAAATTACAACTTTGATGCACTGTGACATCAGATATCACTGCCATGTCTCACCACTCCCAGGACCCCCCACCTTCTATCCTAAATGTATCTTGCTTTAGCCTTAAAGTTTCCCTTAACCTTCAGTTGATGGGACAAGTATATGTCTCAGTCCACATTCAGACAACCTACCTTTGCTTAGGTCTTGCTCACCATTATTATTCATTTGTTAAAATCCTTCACGTCGCTTGCTTTTTTGGTACATTTGTGGACTGAATTGTGTCTATTTTGTAAAATATCAGTGTTGGAAATAAAGACTTGTGTTTGTTTAAATTTTCTTGAAGTTTTTATGCTTTCCCCATGTGTTCTGAGTGTGAGAATAAATGAAATTCTTTAATTTCTATACCATTATTATTGCCAGATTATACTTACAAACAGAATTATCTGGCAGCTCGGCCAGTGTTATATCATTTTAGACTTTATTACTGAAAATGCCTGAAAGAAGAACGGACTGTGCTCTGTGTAACAAGCAGTTATGCTGGCCAAACACAGCTCAAATTTCAGTTATTGGTTCCTGTCGGCATCACCTAGCTTGACAAATTTCAGTCTGAAAAAAGTAAAGGAGCCCAGTGGAAAATTCTCAGATGATAAAATGAAGTCATTGTTCAGGTATTCTGGCAGCCACAGGAGCAGCAGCTGTCAGAATACAATGGCTGGTGGGGAAAATTCTTCCATCCATGCTGTTT